CGCCTGCGAGCCGCCCAGGAGGGCCGCGACGACCGAGGGTGTTGGTGTAGCGCGATGGGCAGGGAAGAGGCTGCGTGGCTCTTCCCGAGAGGCCACGGAGGCTGCCGGCAGGTGGAGCAGCCATGTGCACGGAGCGCCGGTGAGGTCCATGGGGAGCCAGTTGTCCACGACCCTATCGTCACCTCTGGCTTCAAGGAGGGCCTCCTCGCTCGCCAGCAAGAAGGCCAGCCGATCTGTCGCACCGCCGTAGCGCGGCGGCGTTGTTGGCTTGAACTTGTCCGGCCACCGTACCCGTTGCAAGGCTGGGGCCAGGGCTCGAAGCCCCCTGGTCCCCGTGCTGGCGCCGGCGGCCGGAGCGGGCGACGCGCTACTCATCACGAGGCATGCCGTGGCGGTGGCGGAAGAGAAAACTCCGGCGCACCCCCTACCTAGCGCGCCAAATGTCGGATTTTGGGTTCCGGCAGACCCTTGATGGTTCAAACACTGGGGTGCGCGCGGAGATTTCGCCTCCTACCTACCTGCACCTCTCCGCCTCGCTAAGATCTAAGCTATGGAAAGAACAACACAAGAGACACAGGGTTTATACTGGTTCGGGCCACCGTTGTGGTGTAATACCCTACTCTAGTGTGTGGTGTGTTGGATTGCCTCTTGGGCTGATGATGATGAACAATACAAGGAAGAACAGCCTCGCGAGGGTCTGTTCTTGGCTGGGGGGATGAACTGCTGGGAGGAGTTCAGTCACCCTTCTCTCTCTCTCTCTCTCTCTCTCTCTCTCTCTTCTCGATTGTCCCTTCTCTAAACCCTAACCTCTCAGCCCCCTTCGCTCTCGTGGGTGGCTGGTCCTATTTATAGAGGCCCTGGTCCTCTTCCCAAATATCGAGCGGGAAGGGAGCCAACAATGGCGGGCTAATTTGAAAGGGGACAGCTAGTACCAGCTATCCTGACAAAAGTAGTCTTCGCCTGCACAAAGCTCTGGTGGTGACGCCGTCTTGGGCTCCACCATGACCTCTATCTTGCAGTCCTCCTGGTCTTGGTCTTGTTGCACCGAAATGGCAACCTTTGCCTGACGCCTCGATACTCCGCGGCTGTGCTTGCCCCCTTTGTACCAAAGGGGAAAGGAGGACACTGCGCGGGCTGGCACCCGCTTGGCGCCCTTGGTCGTCATGGATTGCGTCACGGGCACCTCATGAGGTACCCCGCCTTGATCTCTCCGCCTCCTCGCGAGCCAGTCTGACGAGGCCGTGCCTGAGAAAGCTCTGTGTCGTCCGCCCCGCGAGGCTTGGCCCCTCGCGAGGGTCTTGGGTCTGTGTTGATGAAGATGGGCCGTGCTGGGCCCCCCTTTGAGCCATGCCGCAGGCCACAGGCAGGCAAGTCTGGGGACCCCCGTTCCCAGAACGCCGACAAGCGGATACTCGATAGATGCACAAGGTTATCCGTAGGGGTATTCAGATGACAAGGAGCTGCAAGGCAGTAAGCTCAAAGGATTCTCGGAACAAAGGAGAGCAGTTTAGGGCATCTTGTAATAACAAGAGCAACAAGGAATGATTGCATGAATGACAAGTGTATGTAGTTATTCATAAGGATATATCAGTGGTAGGGAACTGCAAAGAAGTGGGCACAGGGTCTCGGGACTCATCGAGGAGTATCTTCAGAGTCTTCTGAAGAAACAGTCGGTCATCTGTGGTGAAGGGCTCTCCGGGATGAAGTGGTTACGAGAACCTAATGTCAAGTTAGTAAAAATTTAACCCGAAAAGAAGAAAGATCAGAGTCCCAGAGTATAGACGAGGAGTAAAAGATCCTAATACCACCCAATGGCAACGTGGGCCCATAAGACACACAGCCATGTTAGTAAAAGTTTTTTAGTGACTAGACTCAACTTCGTCCGAGGAGTTGGAAAGGGGGATCCTACAGGCAGTCGGCTCTGATACCAACTTGTGACGCCCTCGATTTGACTGTACACTAATCATACACGCAAATGTGTACGATCAAGGTCAAGGACTCACGGGAAGATATCACAACACAACTCTAGACACCAATTAAAATAATACAAGCTTTATATTACAAGCCAGGGGCCTCGAGGGCTCGAATACATAAGCTCGAATACACAAGAGTCAGCGAAAGCAACATTATCTGAGTACAGACATGAGTTAAACAAGTTTGTCTTAAGAAGGCTAGCACAAAAGCAACATCGATTGAAAAGGCAAGGCCTCCAGCCTGGGAATCTCCTAACTACTCCAAGTCGTCAGCGGTCGTCGCGTAGTAGTAGGCACCCTCAGGGTAGCAGTAGTCATCAGTGGCATTGTCTGGCTCCTGGGATCCGTCAACTGGTCGTAACAATTGGGTATGGGGGAAAAAAGAAGTAGCAAAGCAACCGTGAGTACTCATCCAAAGTACTCGCAAGACTTACATCAGATCTAAACTAAGTATGCATCTGTATCAAAGGAATGGGTTGTATATGTGGGCTGGGCTGCAGAAATGCCAGAATAGAGAGAAGGCCTAGTCCTATCGAAGACTAGCATCTTCTGGAAACCACCATCTTGCAGCAACAGGAGGGAGTAGAGTAGCATAAAGTAAAGTAGTAGTAGTGTTATCAACCTCGGCCAGAGATCCTTTCTCGACTCCCTGCGAGAAAGCAATCCCAGAGCCATACTATCCAGTTATCATCACAATCCAATTCTCATCACCATCCAGTTCTCATCGCAGCTATCCAGTTCTAGTGTATAGATCGGGATACAACTCCAAGTGCTCGTTACCGTAGGACATGCTATCGATAGATGTTTTCTTCCCTTGAGGGGTGCACCAACTTACCCATCACGCTCGATTAACTCCGGCCATACACACTTTCCTAGGGCATGCCCGGCCTTAGCCAAACAATACGCCGCAACCCGACCTAGGCTTAATAGAGAGGTCAGCATGCCGGACTAAACCTATGCCCCCAAGGGTCATGGGCCAGCTCCCCGGGAACTCCTGCACGTTGCGTACGCGGCCGGTGAGCAGACCTAGCTACCTCCTTCAACAAGGTAGGTGCTTACCAGTCCAACCCACTGCGCGCCGCTCAGTCGCTGACGTCTATTAAGTTTCGGGTGATGCATACGACGCAGAACGCCCATACTATGCCCTCGTGATGGTTAGTGCTATCAGGCCAGAGGCCCCTCGGATCAAATATCCAAATCGTAGTGGATTAGGAGCACGCGGTAACGAGAAGAGACTCACGATCGATGTGACCCCGTCGCCCCATCTCGAGTACTTGCGGCAAGGGCTGAGAATGCTCGGCCATGCTTCATAAGTATCTCGCGGGCACCCTCCAGGTCAACCCGTCTCCACATCACTCGCTATGAAGCTCGCACAGGTACCCCTCAGGGCCTACCCGTCTTTAGTAACATGGTTCAGTTGTAAAGTCATAGTAACCATAGTAACTATGTGTCTAACACCAAAGGTGAAACCCGAGGAATGACCCCCTGAGAATTCCACTCAATGTTATCATCAAGGTGAATGTAAGAGGATCCACCCTCGAGGTTCACACTTGAGGGGTTGCACGACAGAGCCGTATCGGAAGTGGTTAAGGAGGAAATCACCCTCGATGACCACAGCCGATTAGCTACACCACAGAGGTCTCATCAGGAGTGATGTATGAGGTTCCACCCTCTACACTCGATGGTAACTCTGCAGAGTCATTCAACTAGGGGGGGGGGTGCGGTGTCAGGGCCTGGACATCGATCACGTTGATCGAGTCATCAAACATAAAGCGAGGCAACTGGGACAAGGTGGGGGTCACTGATTGATCACTAACCAACCTATACTAAGCAGTTTAGGACAAGCAGGTAAGGTATGAAAACAGGTAAGAACAACAGGCTATGCATCAGAGTAGGATCATACAGAAATCAGTAGCAGTTCTAATACAAGCATGAGAGGGAAAGAAATGGGCGATATCGGAATGCTCAAGGGGGGTTTGCTTGCCTGGTTGCTCTGGCAAGGAGGGGTCATCGTCGACGTAGTCGATCACACGGGCAACATCGGTCTCGGGGTCTACCGGAGAAGAAGAGGGGGAGAAACAGTAAATACGGGGCAAACAAGCATCACAAAAAAATATAACAAGACAAAACACGGTGCCAGGGGTGACCTAACGCAGTACTAGGCGATATTGGTGATGGGGGGAAACATCCGGGAAAGTTTTCCTGGCGTTAGGCATTTTCGGACAGATGAAACGGAGGGGGACGGTTGCAGGTTTTCTATGCTAGGGACTTGTGGCGGACGAACGGGTTGGGTAACTGGGTTCATCTCGTCGTTCTCAGCAACTTTCATGTACATAGTTTTTCGATCCGAGCTACGGTTAATTTTATAAGTTTTTTCAAAGTTTTAAATAAATTCTTAAATTTCTGGTTTATTGTAATTTGTTTTAAACCGAGTTGACCAAGTCAACTTTGACTAGTCAAAAGGGCAGGGTGTGGCCCACATGTCATAGTTTGTACCTAAACAAATAAATAAAACTAATCTAATTGAAAGGGACCCACATGTCATCTACACATAGGCTAATCTATCCACTAACTAAAACTACTAGCTAAACCAGGAAGGGCTGGCCACTAATGGGAAGAACCCAGCCGGCCACGCGCACGACACACACACAGAACACACAACACAAATGCTAGAGGTTAAAAATGTTCTCTATTTAACACAAGATAGCAACTTATGATTTTCATAGCTTTTATTCCATGTACAAGTGGATTTGGTCCAATGGAAACATTTGAGCCTTGTCAAGTGTACTACCTACTCATATTATTTTTACACATATTAACAACTGTTTAACCACTGATTAGGGGTTGTTTAGGGGCTTAGTCAACGTAGAAATCCAAAAGCTAACTAGTAGCAGCTACAGTAGATAGTAGTAGTACAATAGAGCAGCGAGCAGCGTGGGCAGTGGCATGGCTCGGGCGCCATACGCGGGTGGGCGCGGTAGCCGCAACGGCAGGCGAGGCCATACTCGGGCGGGCGCGGGGTGCGGCTCAATGGGTGCGGTGAGGCTGGCCGACAGTAGCAGGCACAGCCGTGGGTGAGCAGGAAGCGGCACGCTGTGCCATCAGGGGCGAGCAGCGAGGACGCAACAACAGTAAAGCATCAGCAGCAGCCGAGCAAGCGCGGGGGTGGCTCGGGCACGGCCGGCGCGAGGACTGGGCGGCAGCGGCAGGCGCGGGCCACAGCAGCAGCAGCGTCGCAAGCAAAGCAGCGCAGTAGCTGCACGCATGTACGCGTACACGGGAGTTCGAGCACGACGGTGATGGCGGCCTACGGCATGCAAACGAAGGGGAGGGACAGTGGGATTGGACGGGCGGCTCACTGAGATCCCGTAGGGGTGCAAAGGCGGGCTCTGGGAGGATCGACAGCGCCGGAGTCATTAACGAATGACGACGTCCGAAGGACGAAGGAGAGCTCGATCCCCACGATGTGGGGCTCTCCATCTTGGTCTCGTGGTTCCAGGCGATGAAGCAGACCACGGCGGGGTGGAGGGACATGTCCTTAGGCATCGGGGAGGAGGGTAGCCACGCCGGCGAGGGCAACCATGGCGACGACGGCGACGGACGTGGTTGGATCTGGAGGAGGGGGTGTAGCGAGAGGGGGAGAGGAGGAGGGGGAGCGCGAGGGCAAGTGGGGAGGGCTTGGCGCAGCTATATAGGGCAGGGGAGCCGGGGATGCTCGACGCGTGCGGCACCGGCCATGGAGATGGCGCCACGGCTGCCCTAGCTGCTCCTGTAGCTGGTAGGAGAGGGTTGGGGGTGGGTTGGCCAAAACTACTACCTTAAGGCCCAGAGGCATACTGATAGGTTTCCCTTTTTTCAGTTTACTTTACTGTTTGCCTTTGCTCCTGTTTTGCATTATTTTGAGATACTAAATGATTTTTGTAAAAGATGAAACTTGACACATAATTACTTGGCAATATACTGAGTTGGCTCAAAAAGGTTGAGGCTGGTTGGAAACCATTTAAATTTCCTTTAAATAGAAAAGGGGTTAAATGTTGTTGTTTTGACACTGTTTTAAAAAGGTTAGGGGCAATATAATACTTCAAATAATATTGGTTTCTACATGACAATTACTTTGTAATTATTTTCAACCTAACCAACAATTTTTTTAATGTTTGTAGAAACAATAAATTTGACTTGAGAATTTAATTGGAATTTGACTTCAGAGTTGATCAAGTGATAGCTAGCTCAGTAAAGCTTGGTTACATGGCATCATTAACAGGGGTTACTGTACCATGACACTAGGGGTGTTATAGCTTTGGAGCGCCAGGAGGCCATGGTTGGAGTGGTGTTGACAGAAGGAAGGGACCAGAGGAGAATGATTGTGGGTCTTTGGCTATGGCTGGGAGCTGGGGCTGAAGTTAATATAGTCGGCGAATGGCAATGAGCCACGGCAGACAGATGGACGGCTGCACCAGAGTAGATTCGTCGGTAGCCGCGTGTCATTAATGTGGGCGGCGGACAAACGGATGGCCGTGGTGTCGTTAACGCGGAGCAGTCGCTTGCACCGGGATGCCGCGTGGGTGGCGTTCTCTCAGCCGTCGTGCTGCTGCAATGCCAGTGCTAGTGAGAGGTCGCATCATGCGGCATTGACGTTCTATAGAGACGGTGACCATTTCAGGAGAGAAGCACACGCTAGCGATGGAGGGGGTTTCGGTAGGCCAGGGCGGTCAGACACAGGCGTGGTGGTAAAATGTGAACTCATGGATGACGATCCTTTGAAGCGTATGCGGCACATGTAGACAACCAGGCATCCATGCAACCACTCTTGTCGCCAGCTAGCCTTCGACGACCACCATTAGACAGCACACAACCATGCATAACTTACGAATAATGGACGAATCGATCAAACACACACTCCTGTGCAGTGGCACTATGTGAAGGAAATATGCCCTAGAGGCAATAATAAAGTTGTTATTTCTATTTCCTTATATCATGATAAATTTTTATTATTCATGCTAGAATTGTATTAACCGGAAACTTAGTACATGTGTGAATACATAGACAAACAGAGTGTCCCTAGTATGCCTCTACTTGACTAGCTCGTTAATCAAAGATGGTTAAGTTTCCTAGCCATAGATATGTGTTGTCATTTGATGAACGGGATCACATCATTAGAGAATGATGTGATGGACAAGACCCATCCATTAGCTTAGCATTATGATCGTTTAGTTTTATTGATATTACTTTCTTCATGACTTATACATGTTCCTCTGACTATAAGATTATGCAACTCCCGAATACTGGAAGAACACATTGTGTGCTATCAAACGTCACAATGTAACTGGGTGATTATAAGGATGCTCTACAGGTGTCTCCGATGGTGTTTGTTGAGTTGGCATAGATCGAGATTAGGATTTGTCACTCCCTGTTTTGGAGAGGTATCTCTGGGCCCTCTCGGTAATGCACATCACTATAAGCCTTGCAAGCAATGTGACTAAGGAGTTAGTTACTGGATGATGCATTACAGAACGAGTAAAGAGACCTTCCAGTAACGAGATTGAACTAGGTATGGTGATACCGACGATCGAAACTCGGAGAAGTAACATACCGATGACAAAGGGAATAACGTATGTTGTTATGCGGTTTAATCGATAAAGATCTTCGTAGAATATGTAGGATCCAATAAGGGCATCGAGGTTCCGCTATTGGTTATTGACCGAAGATGTGTATCGATCATGTCTACATAGTTCTCAAACCCGTAGGGTCCACGCGCTTAATGTTCGATGATGATTTGTATTATGAGTTATGTGATTTGATGACCGAAGCTTGTTCGGAGTTCCGGATGAGATCACAGACATGACGAGGAGTCTCGAAATGGCCGAGAGGTAAATATTCATATACTCGAAGGCTATATTCGGACATCGGAAAGGTTCCGAGTGATCCGGGTATTTTTTGGAGAATCGAGGAGTTACGGGAATTCTCCATGGTAAGTATTGGGCCTTATTGGGCTTTAGTGGAAAGGAGAGAAGGGCCACAAGGGGAGGCAGCGCGCCCCATGGGCTGGTCTGAATTGGACTAGGAGGGGCGGCGCCCCCCTCTTTCCTCCTCCCTCTCCTTCTCCTTCCCTCCTCCTACTAGGAATAGGAAAGAGGAGGGGAATCCTACTTGGAATAGGGAGTCCTAGTAGGATTCCCCACACCTGGCATGCCCCCTTAGGGCCGGCCACCTCTTCCCTCCCCTCCTTTATATACGTGGCCATGGGGGCACCCCATAGACACACAAGTTGATCTTTAGCCGTGTGTAGTGCCCCCCTCCATAGTTTTCCACCTCGGTCATATTGTCGTAATGTTAGGCGAAGCCCTACGTCGGTAACTTCCTCATCACCGTCACCACGTCGTCGTGCTAACGAAACTCTCCCTCGGCCTCAATTTGATCAAGAGTACGAGGGACGTCATCGAGCTGAACGTGTGCAGAACTCGGAGGTGTCATACGTTCGGTGCTTGATCGGTCAGAACGAGAAGAAGTTCGACTACATCAACTGCATTGTCAAATGCTTCCGCTTTCGGTCTACGAGGGTACGTGGACACACTCTCCCCCTCTCGTTGCTATGCATATCCTAGATAGATCTTGCGTGATCATAGGAATTTTTTTGAAATACTGTGTTCCCCAATAGTGGCATCCGAGCCAGGTCTATGCGTAGATGTTATATGCATGAGTAGAACACAAAGAGTTGTGGGCGATAATAGCCATACTGCTTACCAGCATGTTTGATGTAGGGTGGAACCCTAGATGGCCGATCTTTCACGAAAGGAGCGGATCCCGTGATGAACACGAAGAACACGAGGGGAAATCACAATGGGGAACACAAGAGAAACACTCAAACCAAAAAGTATGATCACAATGTGTTAGATCCATGAACACAAAGGGAGATACATGATCCATGATCAACAAGGGACGATACACGGTAACCGGTTCTTCTCCAAAGGAGGTCTTGATGGGGCCATTCAAAAAGGGGGTCTTGAATCCAAGGGGATCTTCTCCGTAGAGGGGCCGCGGTCTCTCTTGAGGAGTAGATCCGATGTGGATGAGCGAGGCTCTATCTCTAATATGCGCTGTCACAACGCTAACCCTAGCTAGGACGACGAGAGGTCTATTTATAGTCTTAGTCCAAATGGGGACGAAGTGAGGGGGTACATGGGCCTCAGGCCCGAATCCTGTGTGCAGGCAGGTACCGGACGTCCGGTGTGTAGCGGTCGTCCGGTGGCTCCGGGACGGCCTGATGTCCGGTGGTCGCCAGACTTCCGCTATTTCTGTTCTGTGAGGGTGACGCCGAACGTCCGGTCCCTTCGGACTTCCGCTAATTTTGGCTCGGGTGCGGTGGCGCTGGTCGTCCAGTCCGGGTCGGATGTCCGCTCGCTGGGGCTCGGCTGGGGCTTCAGGCTTTGGACGTCCCGTCCCGACCGGTCGTCCGGTGGCTGTAGCTTCGTTGGCCTTCCTTCTTCATGACCTTGGCGCTTGGTGTCCTCGTCGCCTTGTCCAATGGGTGTAGCTGCTCCGTGGCTTGATACCTCTCCAACGTATCTATAATTTTTTATTGCTCCATGCTATTATATTATCTATTTTGGATGTTAATTGGCTTTATTTTACATTTTTATATCATTTTTGGGACTAACCTACTAACTGGAGGCCCAGCCCAAATTGTTGTTTTTTTTTTGCCTATTTTAGGGTTTCGAAGAAAAGGAATATCAAATGGAGTCCAAACCGAATGAAACCTTTGGGAACATGATTTTCTTATCAAACGTGATCCAGGAAACTTGGACTGGGCATCAAGAAATGATCGAGGAGGGCATGAGGCAGGGGGGCGCCTACCCCCCTGGGTGCGCCCTCCAACCTCATGGGCCCCTCGTTGCTCCACCGACATACTTCTTCCTCCTATATATATCCACGTATCCCCCAAACATCCAAGAGCACCATGAAAACCTAATTCCACCGCCGCAACCTTCTGTACCCGAGAGATCCCATCCTGGGGCCTTTTCCGGAGCTCCACCGGAGGGGGCATTGATCACGGAGGGCCTCTACATCAACTCCATGGCCTCTCCGGTGATGTGTGAGTAGTTTACTTCAGACCTTCGGGTCCATAGTTATTAGCTAGATGGCTTCTTCTCTCTCTTTGGATCTCAATACAAAGTTCTCCTCGATCTTCTTGGAGATCTATTCGATGTAATCTTGTTTTGCGGTGTGTTTGTCGAGATCCGATGAATTGTGGGTTTATGATCAAGTTTATCTATGAACAATATTTGAATCTCCTCTGAATTCTTATATGTATGATTGGTTTATCTTCGCAATTCTCTTCGAATTATCAGTTTGGTTTGGCCTACTAGATTGATATTTCTTGGAATGGGAGAAGTGCTTAGCTTTGGGTTCAATCTTGCGGTGTTCGATCCCAGTGATAGAAAGGGAACCGGCACATATTGTATTGTTGCCATCGAGGATAAAAAGGTGGGGTTTATATCATATTGCATGATTTTATCCCTCTACATCATGTCATCTTACTTAAAGCATTA